CCCCCCCCCCCCCCCCCCCCCCCCCCCCCCCATACTCAGCAGCACCTCCTGTCCCCTCCTATTCCCTCCCTCTTGTGCCCACTGCTGCCTTTCTTCCCACTGCCCATGGCTGACCCAGGAGTGGAGAGAGTCCCAGAGTCACTCTTGCCCTGCTCCAGCCAGGCTATGCAGGGGCCAAACTCAGCTGGGGACAGTGTCAACAGCATCAGTGGGTGGGTTCCTCCTTCCTGCCTGATCCCCCTGGATGTTCCCTCAAGCCTGGGAGCCATTTCTGCACTTTCAGCTAGTTGGGGACAAAGCCAAACCCTATTAAAAATAAGGCCTCTGAGACCAAACAGGCTAAGTGGCCAGGGACATGCCTGAAGTGTGTTATGCCAGTGTACCTGTGTGCCTCTGTGCTTGGTCAGGCAACATAGCCCTAATGATGAATCACATTAGTTCCTCCCCCATCCTGACCTGCCTTTGGTTTATTTCATTCATGCTTTTAGAAGGACGGGTGCTGGCTTGACAGCCTGTGGGCTGAGTTTTCTGTCCTGTGCAGGCCCAACCCAGGGGTCACCCTTTCCTTGCTGTCCTTTAGCACCCAAGAAAGCAAAATGCCTGTCTGTCTCACTCCAAGGATGAGGAGCTCAACTCTGCCCAAGACAGGGCAGATATATGGCCAGTCTGCTCTCCATTACCCAGAAAGATTTGAAGCCAGGAGCAGGAAGCTCTGTGGTGGCTGACACTTCCACTTTGCAGTGCTAAGGGTGATGTGGGATGTTCCCAGAGCCTGCTCTGGGGGAGACCAGTTCTTCCATTCATGGCTTAGAGATATTTTAATAAATCAAACAGAAATAGCAGTTCCAGAGGACTGCATCACTACTGTCATGTACTCCCTGTGAACAACTGGCTGTGCTACCCCAGCCTTTTAATCCTGCCTTTCAGAAGCTGTGCTGGTGGCAACTCAGGTTTGGGCCCCAGAATTTCAGGCAAAAACAAAAGACCTCTCAGGTATGTTTTTGGACTGAGCACCCAGGCACCACCAAGAGTTTGTATCTGTCATGATTCATTTATGGGATAGAACTGAATTACCAACATCTACAGAAAAGTGGAACTTCCCTAAGGATTAATTCTGTACAATGGCCTTGACTATGCCTGCTTGAAGAATGAAACAAAATGCTCTGCTGGTCAGCCCCACTATGAATGTCATTCATATTCATAGTGAGGTGGCTAGATGAACGGAGAGTGAACTGCTCTGATTAGCACCCCATAAAGCAAAAAACAGTGTAATAAAGAGGAGTCACTGTGATGGTGAGCGAACCCATGATAGCAAGACTCTTTTCCCTCTCACCACTACCGTACACTGGGAATATTGGGCAGCATTGTTGAGGGGACAGCATAGGGAAGTCCAGAGCTATTTCCCTCTATGATTTATAATAGGTTAACTGAATCTAAAGTGAGGGCTGGATTTCCCTGAAGCAGGGGAGCAATCCAAACACCTTACCACCTCTGGTGATGAAACCACCTCAGAATTTAATAAAATGCCCTCTGTTTACATATAGGCACACATGTATACATGCTGCTTTACACAGAAGATAACTGCTAGGCGCTGGGTACTCGATGGAACACAAGCTGGCAAGCCCCAGGGCTGGTGGCACATAGGAGCTTTTCTGCTAAGATTTTCACACTCGGTCTCCAAACATCACTCTCCTGTAAACAGCCTCTGGTCCTCAGTGAGGAGCTATCAGATCAATCATCCCAATAACATGCAAGCATAAGCACCCTCCACCCCTGGCAATGCCAATCTCCTCACATGACAAATACCAGGGGAGGGCTGAGGTTAGCTTGTGTCATCTTGAGAGTGCAAAAGGAGCTGGTATGATCTTCTAGGGAAATTGTGATGGCTGCCAGGGGCTTCCACCTGCTATAGTCTGGCCCCAGGGCTCCAGTGTTCACCTTATCACATATGCCATCCGAGGGACAGGAGAGGAGCTGTATCCAGTGTCCCTCTCATGGCAGTGGGGCTTGCTGTGCATGCAGCCTGCATATGAACGTATCCCAGTCTCTAAATTTTGACCTGCATCATAAGATCAGTTCCATAGGTGGCAGTTCTGCTGTGTAAGCCAGACAGGGACTTCCCAGGAGCCACACAGGGCTGGTCCCAGGGTGAAGTCAGTATGTGCAGATTTGGTGATAAGAAAGCAATGGCCATGGCTGGGTCTAAGCCAGCATCTGCTGTAGCACTGGCTGACCCAGGACTCACTAGATCCAGTTCTGGCACTTGCACCCAGACACAGGTGGGGGGACCAAGGGCCCTAACTTTCTGTTCGTGGGACACGGCACCCATGATGTATATAAATACCCAAGTTCCAATTCCTTTTATACAGCTTTCTTATCCTGTTGGCTCAGGACCTGGGAGACGCAGAAGGGGATGAGACAGACAGCAGCCAGGGGCACAGCTGCACTCTTGCAGAAAGACAGGCCATAGAACAGCAGCTCCACTTTGGTGGGCGGTTTGAAAGAGTCAAACAGGTGCAGGACAACAAGTGAGGCCACAATGCAGCTCAGGCGGAAGGGCAGCTGTTGGCCCTGCTTCCCTTTGCAGCTTTCCATGTACATCTGGGAGTGGAGGGCCAGCCCCAGCCCAAAGAGGATGCCCAGGTTCCGGAGGAGGCCAGCGAAGGGTGTGGTGTCAATATGAACCCACTCCGGCTGGTCACACCACCTCTTGGCTTTCTCCAGGGTCCACAGCAGATCAACACCAAGAGTCTTCAGCAGCAGGTAAAAGCCCAGGGCAAAACTGAAAAGTAAGAGGGTTGTGCCCAGGTATCTCCAGAGACTGGCATTGTAAATGGAGTGGATGTGTTGGAAAGCTTCAGCCACTGCCATGCCTGCAGGGAGCAGAGGGTGAAAGGAGAAACAGCCAGTCAGAATGAGAAAGCATAATTCTGCCACACACATCTCCATGATTATCACCGTGGTGTCATGTCATCCCAGGGAATAAGTGGTATTCAGGTGGCTGTGCCTATTCTCAGCATGGAGAGAAAATATTATTTACCTACTTTAGGTATTGACATACTGTGTTCCCCCCTCAGAGTCCCAAGCCTCCTACATTTGCATACCTCGAAACAGTATTTTTTGGCCAGAAAAACCTGCCAACCATTGTAATTAGTCATGTAATGTTCTATCTGCATGACCTGGATCACTATGTTGAAGTGCCTGGAGGCTACAGCTTTCTAAAGACTTGTACCATACTGTGTATTCTCTGGAAAGGCAAATGCAGTAATTGTATAGCAAACCTGGACAGATGCAGCTTCATGACTATCCTCATCCAACCTAATATAACTGATGAGTACTGCCCAGGGTATGGGCTATGTAATATTGCAGGTGGACGTGGTAGCTATCAACTAGAATGCAGGAAGAAAAGGCAGCTCTTTTGACTGTACTGACCTGAGATGACCCCTGCAATGACTTGATGAGGAAAATGTGCAGCAATGAAGACTCGGGACAGACAGACACAGATCTGTACTGCCCAGAACCCTGTCCACAATGCCATCCGCAGGAACCTGCAATGGGGAGACAGTTCAGTTAGTGGCAAAGCCAGTAGGGTCAGCAAAGCTTGTTCTTGCTCAAGGATGTAGGGACGCATTTTCTGCAGTGTCTGGGTAGGAGCAAGAAGGCTGGGATCTCTGAAATGCCTCCCCCTGACAGCAGAGTAAACAATCATAACATAAAACCCTGACAGTCACTGATTATGGTACTACTAACCCACAGAGAAGGAAGCTTGGGGAGGTCCAGGGTTTGCACTCCATAGCCAGGCCACATGCCACTTTTAACACACACTGAAAACATCCAGGAGTGGGTTTCCCCAAAAGTTCAATGTTAACTTAACTTTGCGAGTAACAACAGAGATCCCGCTGACTTCAACTGGGACAGAGTTCAGGTAACACAAAGCACTGCCACTCCCACAACCCAAGTGGAGCCTCAGTCAAAGACCACCAGAGTCAACAGAAGGACTTTGAGCCAGGCCTTTGGTCAGGCTGTACCACAGAGGGAATGATTCTGTCCCAGTACAAGGGGTCCAGCTTGTAGGAAGTATGAGCTGTGATTCTCTTTGAGTGTGTCTACACATTGCCGTGCTTTACTACTTCCTTTTGGAAGTAGTAAAGCATGGTGCAGTACAGGTGGTTACTGCGCTGTGCGCATGGCACACAGGTAAATTTTGCTGCTACATCACTGTAGCAGCACACTATACCCAGGGATGCACTGCTACAATGACATAGCTGGCAATCACATGTAGACACGTGATTGCTACGCTGTAGCACACCTTATGACACAATGTAGTGCCTTTTGCTATGGCCTTAGCTGGCCTAGCTTCCAATTCAATGGGTGCTTGTGAAGCCCTTACCAGCCTTTTAAACCTCTTGCTCAGCACTTACATGTTGGCCTGTAGGCAAGCATTTGCATATAGATATATAAGTGTGTATGAGAGAGCCATTGTGCTACCTGCTTCCTGCAACAGAAAGTTCTACTGCTCAGCTACATGATGCATGAAGGGCATTGACAGAAGTGATGGTTTGTCAAATGATCAAGCCCCTGATGTGCTCTACTGCTGTGCACTGACTGACATGCATGGCTGCAGAGTGCTTTAAAAATGCCCAATTGCATGACAATCTGAAGCTTCATTACATGAAGGTTCAGATGAAGGTGCTCCAAAGTTGAGCACCTTTATTAATATTTATCAACATGCACCAGGAGCAGAGTTGGGCTGAAGCAGCCCAATGCTGCCCCTGTTGCTGACTGCACAATGGGAGGGGGAGAAGGGAGGGGAGGGACTTCTGTGTAGGGTTTGCCCAGCCTGCATTGGAAAGTGGGGCAGGTGCATTTGAATCTCCCCCATCCCTCCCAAGGTGGGGGGTGGGGCTCCAATCCACCTGCCCCACCCTCTAGCTGAGGCTGGGCAAACCTCAGACTGAACTCCCTCTGCCTCTCCCTCTCCCCCCTCCATTCTGAAGACAGCACCAGAGCTGGGAAAGGGGAGGGGCAGGGGTAGAGGAGAGCAGTAGCAGACACATATCCACTCCAAACTGCAGTCTGATCCCCCAACCCCCATCCCCCCAAACCAACAGCCAATGTCTGCTGGGTCAGGAGACCACTAACTCATGGCACTTCCTGCAAAGCACCACGAGTTATAGCAGGGAGCTGCACAACTGTCAGTGCCTGAAAGTTCACTTCCTTTTACTGGTTCAGAATGCACCTTCCCCTACCTTCAGGGCTTCCCTCTACCCTGAAGATATGCAACTGTCCAAATGCTGCTTACCAGTATTTAAATGCTGGCTGTTTCTTCCCCACAACAACAGAAAGAATGGCTGTCACCATCACATAGTAAACTCCTGCTGCACCCATTGCATGACCTGAGGGACTTCCTAGGGGAAAGAAAGTGCCCATATTAGCTTTTCTCTGGTTGTTCTTTGCACGTTAGAAACATTCTTCCCTGAAGACTAACAGCAAAGAGTGCCCAGGTTTCTAGGATCCCTCAGCTGGAAGTCCAAAGGCCTACTTTGCCGCACAACAGCAGCCAATTCCAGCAGGACACTGGGGATTCATCAGTGTAGGGACAGGCACTGTGAGAATCCTCTCCACTTGTAGCATTCGGAGTGGGGGAGAAGAAGAGGAACTCTTACAAATAAGGCATTATTGGTGGGGGGGAAATGTGGAATGTGAGAGGGGTCTCCTAGGCCATCAAGTCCAGGCCCTTGCATTCGCAAGCAACTGTTAACCACAGAAATCCCCCAAATTGCCACTTCAACACCCCACTCACAGCTATGAGACAAAGCATCTGGAATCTCAATGGCAGTCTACCCATAACAGGGGTAGAAGCAGGGGAAACCAGGGCACTCCCAATGCCCTGCCACGGCAATGACAGGGAAGCAGATTCTACAATATCCAAGATCCCAGATACACTCAGAAGAATCTAAGGGAAGGACTCTCCCCATACTACAGAGGAAAGGGAGAATCCTCCACAGACCCTGCCAGTCTGATCTAAGGAAAAATTCCTTCCTGACCCCATATTTGATGATCAATATGGTCCTCAGTAGAAGAACAAATGTCTAAGTACAAAATATGTAGTTAAGTATTCCAGCATGGGAAATAAGCCTACAGCACTATGACCACTCAGAGCAGGGAGAGCTCTGCGAATTCCCCAGGGCCTGTGGTACAGTCCCACACAGATATGGCAGTGCCAGCTCCACTCATGCACTGGGGACCTGGATGGAATCACTGTAATACTTGAAAACTCCTTGGCCCTTAGGCAGCCTGAGCTCCCACCATCCTACAGAAATTCAGTGAAGGTAGCAGCTACAGAAATGGCACCCAGCAGAAGCTGGGATTAGACTACAGGAGGTATAGCCGAAGGCCAAATCCAAAAGTACTCTTTGTCCCCCCCCCCCAAGTATCACCTACGTAGCAGTGTATGGGAATTTTTTTTGGTGCTTATGCAGATAAAGTTCTGTATGCACCAGTCTAGCTGTGCCTCCCTTCTGCACAGTCTCAGAAAGCTGCACTGCTACTGCCTAAGCTCGGGGGTGGAAGAGAATCTTCCGAGTGCCTGCATAGTGCCAGGTAACTCCTGAAACTTTAGTTGGAGAAAAAGCCACAGGTTGTAATTATTTGACACCAGAAGATCCATCCACCTGTTAGCCCACTAGTGTGGGTACTTGCCCAGGGAGCAGAATATCAAGGCTCTGGGCCCTTTGCACCCAGAAGGGGTTTGAAACTCCATTTTTTCCTTCCTAGCAAATGATTCTAACCACTAGGGCACAGACTAAGCAGAGACTACAGTATGCCTCTGGAAGATGGCATACTGGGCAGTCAGGAAAGGCAGATATGTGGTGCCAAGAAGCAAAGAGCAAGCCAAAGGGAGCATGGCTCAGTGAAGTGGATGCTGTGATGGAAGGGCTCTGGGCCTATCCTTCTTCTCCTGCTGGACAGGAACTCTCCCTTCACTATTTACCATTTGCAAGGTGCAGAAATTGACTGAGGAAGAAGCCAGATGCCAGGACCTTCTCCCTGACACTGAGTGTCCTTCCTTCACTAAGCTTCTAGGCTAAGAGGTTAATTGTTCCCTCTCACTTCCTCCCCCATTTTAGTTCAGGATGTTTCTACACAGATGGAAATAAAATCTAAAAGCTATTTAAGTGCCAAATGACATTTGGCCCTAAGTGACTTGCTTTGTCACAGAGAGTCTGTGGCAGAGCAGGGGATTAAAACCAAGTCTCTACCAACCTAGGCTAGTGCCTGGTCCTCTGAAACCATTCTCTCTCTCTGTGTCCATCCCTGGAGGACATTTCTTTGTACTAGTGATATCACAGGCCAGCACTTGTGACAGCTCTTTGCCTCACCCTCATACATATATGAATTTCTGAAGCCAGCAGCTTGAATCATGAACCTTTGCTCTGCATAGAGATATCAATAGCCCCCCATTCCTTCCCAGGACAACTGCTCAGTTGGTTGGCACATGCACACTTTCTTCCGTATGCTACCCACTGGCATAAATTGTGGTGCACAGTTCTACCCCTTTACTCCCCTCTCAAGTTTAGTTTTAGAAGATGCCTCACCTGGGCCAGTCTCACATGTGAGAGGGAACTGCTGGATGACAGGAACAGAGGTGTTGTCATAGTAATTGGTCTCATGGACCCACCAGTAGGGTCTCTGCCCAAAAAGGATCCTGAAACACAAGAGTAAAGGTGGCTCTAGTTGTCTTAGACACACAAGAAGAAAAGCAGGCTCAAACCCCATCACCTAAGCCCTGGCATGCAAGCAGGGACTGGGGAAGGGATGACGGGGCCAAATTTGAGGTATTCACACACATAGGGTCCAAGAAAGACTTTTAGAATAGTGTCATAGAGAAGTAGGGCTGGAAGGGACCTCAAGAGGTCATCTAGTCCAACCCTCTGCCTGAGAAAGGATCATGTCTATCCAAACTATCCTATGCAAATGCATTGTCTAACCTCTTAGCAAAACTACAGTCAACCCTGACAAGACATAACACCCTAACCAGCCACACGTAAAGCAGGGGGACCATGGTGGCCAATGTCCTGCTGCTGCTGCAAAGGTTGTTAAAATATGCTTGAGAGATTCCATACCCTGGTTTACATACTCTCTTTCCTCACATCAATTCCTCAGGGAAACCAAAGCAGCTAAAATTGGGGAGGGGCACGGAAAAAAGAAAGACCCACCTCTGGTTTCTTCAAGTTTACGTTTTCTAGCTAATAGCAATAAATGTGCTGGCAATACTAAACACACAGAAGCCCCCACCTTCCCACCAGAGTTTGTACATGTCCCGTCTATACATGTATGTGGCACCATGGGTGGATCTCAGCTTTTGAAAAGGTGGGGTGTGAGTGCATCCTCACATATAACACAACACATATTTTCTTCCAGGTAAAAATAAACTAGAAGCTTTACTAACATGCTAGGGCAGTGGTTTTCAACCTTTTTTCATTTGCAGACCCCTTTGGAAATTTTGAATGAAGGTGCCAGCCCCTTTGAGTATTAAGTATGGGTATTCACAAACTTTTGACTGATGACAGTCATTGTTTGTGGACCCATTATGCATAGTCAGTGGATCCCCAGGGGGGTGGACCAGAGGTTGAAAGCTACCCTAGGGGTCTGGGGCTATATTGTTCAGTTTAAGATCAAAGCAAAAACAAATATAACTTCATGGGAATGTGCATTAATTTGCTCTAGCCTATATCATAAAAATGATGATAAACTAGGTAAAAATAATCAAAGGATGTTGTTTCCTTAGTGTTGTTGTCATTAGAATTAAATGCACATGTCTTTCAGATTCGTAAAACAAATTATAGGCTTCTTGTGCATCTTGACAGTGAAATAAGGTGTTCAGAAGGAATCGGGTAGATTAAAATGGGCTATAAAGTCAAGTGACTCCCCTACTGCTCCTTGAATAGAAAAGCTGCTGCCGCTGCCAGCCAGTGGGTTTTAAATTTTGGGTAGACCAGGAATCAAAGGGGGTACAACAGCACCTCCCACGGATCCACCCCTGTGTGGCACTGGGCATTCTCCATGTCTCAGGGACCAGAGTTGGCAGCATGAGCAAAGAGGCCCTGACTAGCTCAGAGTTGCCGTGGACTTTCCCTTTGCCACCTCACTCAGTGCAATGCAGAGGCATGCAGCTGGGACCAGCAACTACACAGTCTACGTGGTCACTTGTGAACCCTTTCCCACACCCTTCACATGGGTCTGACCCTGCAGCAGGACACAAGGTTTAAAACACTATCAGTGAACATTAAAAAATAATAATTATTTACATGACTTTGTAGAGACTGAAGAAAGTGTAGGACCTGGCATATAGTAGCTACATGGTACTTAATTGGTCTAGGTGGATGCAAACTAGGACATGCCATTAGTCATGCAGCCTGCCTTAACCTGTGGCATAGGGAGTTAAGAAGTTCCAGTGCCATAGTGTCTCATAGGAAGCAAGGTGAGACCCCACACATGGTAACTGCATGGATACAGAGTTGTAAGCTGGCTAGACATACTGAGATGATGGTTTTAGTATAAGCTGTACAGTTGCTGGGGTGGGGCAAATTCAAAGGCTGCTTACAGATGAAAAAAAAACCCAAAATAAAACAGTGTTTTATTTAAACTCAGCATGCCCCCATGCCGAGCCCAGCGCATGCCCAGAAGAGGTATGGTGTTAGTTTGACCTGGCTCACCCAACTTCTGTATAGATTGGGTGCTTCAGAAGGGTTTTTCTGGTGCTTATATCTAATAGCTGATTGAATCAGCTTTAGATAAAAATGCAAAAAGCCCTGTTGAAGCATGTGAGCTATACAGGCGCTGCGGAGCTGGGTAGAACTAATGCATTGCCTCTTCTAGTAAAGCGTGGTTTGTTTTTTTTTGGGGGGGTGGGGGGGAGGTCAAATTGGTCAGCAGTCTTTTTCAGTTCATGGTGCCCGAGGGCAGTTCTCAGTTCATCCCCTCTGTCCCGCTTCTACCTGGTGGTTTCAAGTAGCTATCTTCATATTGGTGCTGGCTCATGATGTTTAACTTGATAATAGCCAAAAGGCCAAGAAGCGATCATGCAGGCCTTGCCCAAAGATGGGAAGGTCTCCCAGGGATATAGCCTGAGACCCTGTATATAAACTTATCCATAGGTTGATCATTGCTCCCAGCTCATTCTGCCACACACCTCCTTTGACTCCCATGGCAACTTCACCAGCAGATGCACACTAATCTTTTCCCTACTGGGATCCATCCCCAAGATGACACCAGCTCTGGGGAAGAAGTTTCCTTAAGAAATGCACCCCTAAAGTAAGCAGGGTTGTGCCCAAAGCAGTGTCTGGCCCCCCAAACACACCTCCCTGCCCATATCCACCCCTGCTTTATGTCCTTTTCTATCATGAGCTACAAACAGACTCACTTTTCTCTAAACAGTGGTAATGTAATAAGCTCTAAGCACTTTGCATCCACCGATCTCAGTGCCCTTCACAAAGCAAGGCAAATATTGTCACCTTGTTTTACAGCTGGGGGGAAATGAAGTCCACTTAAGAGAAGCCCATCTAGAGCTAATGTCTGCATTAATCCCATAAAATGAACAAGTAAAGCTAGTTCAGGTCTTCACTCTGCTGCTGCTCTGGAAGGAAATTTGCATCCTGAAAACTTTAAAGAGGTTTGCTTTGGAAAGCTCCAGTTTGGAGCTACCCTCAACCTGCCTAGTAGTTCATAGAAAAATACTCCTCAGCAATCACCTCAAAGGGACAAGCAGGGATTAGGCAAGTGCTCCTAGTACAGCAGGGCCAGGCACAGCACAGGGTACTACTCACCACTTAAAAACCAGGTTGAGCCAGTCCCCAATCACCGCCACCCAGATGAGCTTGATGCCCACTGTCTCACAGAGGTGGAACCAGATGGGGAAGAGGATGAAGAAAGTGTTTCGCAGGTCAGCGGCAAAAGAGACAAAGAGAAACCAGTCCTGGGAGCCCTGGTAATTCACTTGCAAGTAGCGAGTGGCCTGAACCCCTGCATCATGCAGGACATTCATTCCAGCCTCCATTCTTGTCTCTTGTCAGCACCTCAGTGTCAGCAGGAAGCACAGAGTGACTTTGGTCTCTACTGTGCTCCGGCTGCTCTCTGGCTTGGATTTATACCCTGCAAGGCTTGTTTGCAGCCTGTAGGTCACTTGCTCCAGCACTGATCTTTGGACCCAAAAAACACTTTTGTCAAAGGTGCATCACCGGGAAGGAGTTGATGCAAACATGTTTGGAGAAACTTACGTAAAAGCAAAAAAAAAAGGGCTGATAAAAACAAAATGTTGTGTGCCCTGCTCTGCCACTGGGCACTGTTAACCCTTTGCAGAACCAGGGGCCTCCCCATGCTGTAGGAACTGTACAGCTAAGTGAGGCAGGATTGTCCCTTAAAGCAACTACAGCTTCCCACTCTGTACCCTCCGTATTTTTTTCCAACTCCTGATAAGATTTCCTGGGTTTCCAAACTTCCATAATATCATTCATTTCCTAATGAAGGGTTTCAGATACAGACATTCACTGAAACTCAGCGGGTATGTCTACACATCGCCATATGGTGATGTTTCGACTGTGCCATGTTTTAGTACTTCCTTTTGGAAGTACTAAAACACAGAACAGTACGGGCGGTTATTGCGCCATGTGGGCAGCACATGCTTAGATTTTGCATCGAAGTCGCTGTAGTAGTGCGCTGTAGCTGGGGAGTGTGCCACTACAGTGACATAACTGGCGATCACGTGTAGACACATGTGATTGCTGTGTTGCTGTAGTGCGCCATATGGAGGTGTACTGTAGGGTGACATGTAGACATAGCCAGTGAAACTCTGAACCATTTAGATCTCAATTGTAGATAATTCTGTGGATCTCTGCTGCCTCAAGCCCGCAGTAGCGCAGTAGGCAAGATGGTCCTTGGGTAACTCAGAACTTCCCCAACTACAAGAGTGATTTGCTTTAGGCTGAGCTGCATTTATGGAATATAGAGTTGCTACAAGTCACATCCAGTGCTCCTTGCTGAGCTCTGGGGGATAATCTGCACAAGCAGCTGAAGGTCCTGAACTACCTCAGGACAGTTTATTTTCCCAACATCCACCAATTTGCTCTATAAATTGCCTTCATGTCTGTATAGGGTCCTTTCATTATGTACTTGCGATCTGCAGACCGCACCATGGCATCCCCCATCACGTGATGAAAACCACAACCTGGGCCTTTAATCATAAGATATTTTTAAGATCTTGAGACCTTTTTAATAATCCATTTTGACCATTTCCCTTTGTCTTACAGTTTCAGGATCCTTTAAAGTCATATTTCCCAGCCTGATGGGATTTTTCCCTTCATATGTGGCATGGGGTTGTGGGGGGGAATGGCTCTCTTCCTTGCATCACTTGAGTGTATTTTAATAACACTTGCAAGTGCAGGACACTAGTAGTGCCCTCATCCTCCTGCTTTACTTGTGGCAGACTGGGTGGAAGGCAGCCAAGAGCTGGAGTTGGAGCTGGAGCCCCAAACTCTGCAGCAAGAGCTGCCCAGCTGCAGCTTCTCTCCCTTCTCCCCCACCTTGCCTGCCCTGGTGCAGCACCAGGACACATGCAACTGCACCAAGGGCAGCCCTGCTGGGAAGCTATGCATACTGGCTGGGGCTAGTGCCAGGGCTGGGATTGTCCAGTGGGCGCTAATGGAAGTGCATCACGGGCTGTCTAGGGCAGGGCTTGGTCCCATGCAGAGCACTGCAGGGGCAGCCATGGGCTGGATGTGGGGGAGGACTGCACCTGCACTGCACTGCCCAGGCAAGCTCTACTGCATGTGCCCCCTGCCCCCATCCCTTCCTCTGCCCACCCCTGGCCAGTTCCCAGCACCTAGCACTCAGGCAGCCCCTCACACTTACATCCCACAGCCCCCCAACACCCCACATCCCCTCCATATCCCCTATCTCTCCACCTCGCCAGATGCACGTTCACCCCCACCCCACACACACACAGTATACAAGAGTAAGGCTTTATTTTGAGCTATTATGCATATACACTATTCAAAAACATATAAATCAGGGCTAAAATTATTTTTTGAAATAAAATTAAAATGTTGTAGTAGTAGATGTTTGATTTTACTATACTTTTTTAAATCTATTATTTGTTTAAATAATATCTTCTAAAAGGTGTATGCGGCCCTTGGCAGATCACCAAAACTCGTTAAGTGGCCCTTCAGCCAAAATAATTGCCCACCCCTGTAGCAGGGCAACAGGATTGTTTTGCAGCTTTAGAACTAGCTTAGCCAAGTGCTTCTATGGGATGGTCTGTACAGAGGTGATCATGCCTAGAGGAGGGGGTTGGACTAGGTGACCTGCTAAGGTCCCTTTCAGCCCTACTTTTCTATGATTCTGTACAAGGAGGAAGGTTAGATATTTGCCTTATATTGAAGAAAGCTGAGATCTCTCATAAACCCAACCCTAGGAATTGGGGTTTTACCAAGCGCACCAAGCATTGTGAGAACAGGTGATGCCGCTAGCTGAAGCAATCACTTGGGAGCCGTCTGTTTGGGATTGAGATGATGGAACAGTCAGCAAGTCTGCGGGTCCCAGTTATTGTTTATTAGCAGGGCCCAGCTCCCCAGGACATGACCCGTGCGTGGCTTGACTGTGACAAGCTGAACGGTTCAAGGATCTTGACCTGAACTTTCACACTGAGAGAGATAAGTGATGCCTTTTCACTGGCTGGCAATCATTAACCCCTCATGCTGTTTCCCCATTCACTGACATCACCTTGTTTAGGTGCAGAGTTGCTTCGTTGTCTCCTGTGAATGGCACCACTATTTGAGTAGCCTATCTCCACAAAATGACAGCAGCAGCAGTGGCCAGCAAGGGCCTGCCAGGAAGAGGATGGGGAGGCAGAGGCCTTGGACCAAAGTCACAGAGTACAGGAACTTCTCCCCTGGAAGCTCAGTATCCCTTCAGTATGACTGGCCCAAGCAACTGCCAGGTCCTCTCCATTCTGCTATCCATTAGCTGGACCCTGGCTAAGCTGCCCTTTCTTCCTCATTCCCGCCTTCTCCTGCCATCATGCCCTGGCTGCATCTTCCACCTCATCGCCGTAGCTCTTGGTGTTGCAGTAGCACCCTGAGACCCCATCAGAACAGTGGTGTCTCCTCAATCCCTGCCCTGTCTGCCACTGTTCAGTCTTTCCTATTTCCTGTGAATCCCTGAAGTCCCATCCCTAGTTTAAAAGGCTGCTACTGAAAAGTTCCTTTGCCCAATGCTCTAACTGGATTTTTCCCCCCATTGTAGCCCCCACTGCTTCAGATGTCTGGTCATCACCTTCAAGGCTCTACCTTACACAATTCCTGCCTATACCTCTGCTTCTCTGCCTTGCTGTGTTTCCAGAACCTAGTGCCAAGGCACTGCCTTCATCTCCCTATCACTGTCCCAGCTCTGTGTTACCACGTGGATTGGAAGTGGCACAGGTCAGCCTGCTCTTGAGCTCTCTGCATGGCAGGTCCTGGTCCTGGCCCTCCCTCTGGACGTGGTGTAGAGTAAGTAATGATGATAAGACTCGGCTCTCCACTGTTGTATTGAAAGCACTAGCCTAAATCAGAGCTGAGGAGTTGTATCTATTTGCACCTCCACATGCTGCAATATGAGGATGCTCAGCTAGTGTTTGAAGGGCTGAGGGGCAACCACAACCAGAGAAGATGTTTCTGTTTCCTGCAGAAACAGACCACTGAGCTATATTCCTGGGTGCAGCAGTGTGGGCCACAACTGTCTTCACAGGCCAGATTCCTGAGCACCCAGGTTCTCCTAGGTAAGTTCATTAGGCTCCTATGCTGCCTTGTGAGGGACTTAATTGCAGGCACCTCAGGTATTGGCACAGGTTCTACCTCTGCTACCTTGATATCCAAACTCAGAGTCGGGCATGACCAAACCCATTTGGCATAAAACCAGTGAAGTCATTTGGTTGAGTTTCCAATGCTACGTTGACAGGGTGTTGGAGGCTGCCTGCTGCACTGCCCAGATGCCAAATCCTTATCAGAAGAAATGTGCTGATAATGGTGATTCACCCAAGAACCATCTTGCCTGCTGCACTAGGGGGGCTCAAGGCAGGAAAGATCCACAGAAGTATCCACAATTGAGAGCTAAATGTTTCACTCATGGAATCCCTGGGTAAGGCAGAGCCAGTCCCATCAACTTCTTAGTACTGGGGTCACTTTGGGGCATGATCAGGAAGAGACCCCACTACAGGGACACCACAGTCCCAACCAAACCTTGCATCCACAGATGCATCTCAAGCAGGTCCAAGGAGGTGATCCTCCCCCTCTATGCGGCACTGGTCAGGCTTCAGCTGGAGTACTGCATCCAGTTCTGGGTGCCGCACTTCAGGAGGGATGTGGACAGCATGGAGAGGGTCCAGAGGAGGGCCACTCGTATGATCAGGGGGCAGCAGGGCAGGCCCCACAAGGAGAGGCTATGGGACCTGAACCTGTTCAGCCTCCACAAGAGAAGTCTGAGGGGGGATCTAGTAGCCTGTTACAAACTAGTCAGAGGGGACCAGCAGGCACTGGGGGAGTCCCTGTTCCCCCGAGCACTACCAGGAGTGACTAGGAATAATGGTCACAAGCTGGCAGAGGGTAGATTTAGGCTAGATATCAGGAGGCGCTACTTCACAGTCAGGGTGGCTAGGATCTGGAACCAACTTCCAAGAGAAGTGGTGCTGGTTCCTACCCTGGGGGTCTTTAAAAGGAGGCTGGGTGAACACCTTGCTGGGGTCGTTTGACCCCAGTACTCTTTCCTGCCATGGCAGGGGGTCGGACTAGATGATCTGCTTAGGTCCCTTCCGATTCGACCAACTATGAAACTATGAAACAGTTTCCAGCTCACATAGTGCAGGAGGATTAGTGCAGCCAGTAGAAATGGAGTAGCCCAACGTTGTACCAAAGGCTGCACAATTCTGTTGCTTTCACAGCAACGTATTGTAGAGGACCTCCACAAAGCTGCTACAGCGAGTGATGGAAGCACTACACTGCCAAGACTGTCTGGAGCCAACCAAACTCATGGACTATGTATCCTTCCCAAGCCAGGCCCTGGCTAGCTGAAATGTCTCTGTGTGCTCTGGGCAACACACTGT